AACTTCCTGTGTTTCAGTTTCTTTGTTTGGGCTATGAGGTAAATAAATCACATTTCTGTCATTTGCAATGCTCTTCGAAATCTAGAATACCATCTACAGATAATGCAAAGAAAGAATATGAAGAGGCATGAAGTGATATGTAAGAGACAAAGGCACACACACCTCTCCCATAGGAGCAAGACATAGCATTATAGCTGTTTAGTCTTTGTTGTTGTTGTTTTATATCTGCTTGTATTCATTTCGACTAACTGTAACTGGTTTGGTTTATTTGTATTTTCTTTGACTGTGATGTTTTTTTTGTCATTTTGTGTCTTTTTGTGGTTGTTTAAATGTTTCTTTGTGATCATTTGGAGTCTCTCATTGTTGGTCTATCTCTCTTTGAGTGACCAGGTGATGCTTGTTCAACATTGTACAAAGATTCCATTTTTTCAAAGTCATCTTTCAGGCATTCTTCTCGGATGCCTCTCATACATGTGCTCAATGATGTTCTCCCCAAATGACATCTCCTGATAGATATAGAACACAACCAGAACAAATATTTAGAAAATTGAAATCATGTTTTTTGGACGAATGACATTTAATCAAAGCTTCTGATTTGCAGTTATAACACATACAACAAAATCTACATTTGGAAAAAAAAGACATGACAGTAGACTTTTCTGACTTTCCTCTCGTCTTAATGAATAATCATCCTAACAGTGTTGGCCCTGGTGTATTCATGAAATGCTTCTAAACAGTGTGTAATGTGGTCGGAAGGTTTTCTTCTGTTACTGGCCTTGTTTTTGGTTTGGTTTTGTGCCTTTATATGTGTATTATGCTTTGGTGTGTTTGACGCTATACAGTAGTTTGATGCTTCTTATGATGGCTATGCTTGTGCAAACACATCCCAAAGTGTTGATTTGACCCACAACTAATGATACAAATGTGTCAACAAATATTTGTTATGCACATAGATTCCGATATAAAACTTTGTCAGGCTATATTTGCAGAATAATAACTGCATGCATGGTTCAAACCTGATTTACAGCAGGGCTGTCCAAACATTTTTCACTGAGGTCCACATACAGAAAAATATCTGAAGGGCTGGGCCCCTCACTAGAGGTGAGAAGTAAGTCATAAGTTCGCAAAATCAATCAAATGTAAGTCAAATATTCTTGATAACAGAATATTCTTAAAGGAAAAAAACAGCCTACGTCACAGCTTTACATATAAAGGGTTTCATTTAATTAGTTACCAAAAATGTAAGGCGAAATATAAAGGGTATATTGTTAAGTTGTTATGGAAATAAGTTATTGGGCTTGATTTTATCAACTAAGATTTGTTTTTTTCATTGACTGAATTTATTTGAAAAGTGGGCTTATTAATACATGAATACTAACATATGTTTACATATATAAGGAGTACAATATAAGAAGTTTCAGGTGTGGGCCATATTCAGTTGTACTTTTAGAATTAGCTGCATGCCAATTGAATATGGACCCCCTGATTTACAGCTTCAGTCCTTCAACGTTACATATCAGCTAAACCAGAGTTAAACATAAAGGTATTACATATTTTCTAACTTGATATGAGCTGTCCACAGACACACTGTGGTGTATTTATATAATGCAGTACAACATATTCCATAAACTGACTGAATCAGCTCTTTGTGTTTTTAGACAGTACACAGATTTGATGTCAGAAGTGTTCCGTTGGTGAGATAAGTGACGTAAAACATTTCCTTCACTGACACAAGGTCATTCGCTGAAACAACCAATACATCTCCTCCGTATGCTACGAACTCAAAACATGATAGTAAAAACTTTGTTAAAAGAAAATGTGGTCCTGTTTTACTTTCTCACAATGCAGAAAGTTTAACATTAATACTTTTGCTATTTTTTGAAAAATGTCCATCCAGGATCTGTGCTGCCAGAGAGCTTGGCCTTCACAAGACAAGCCCGGTCTCACTTCTTATACTAACAGTCATGTGGTCAGTATCTAGACATCCTTTAGCGTGAGTGCTTTACCATCAAATCTAAACCCTGAGTCACTATTAGACGGTCAGAGCAACTGACGGAGGTGGATCTGATGGAGGTGAGGAGGTCAAACAAACACAGGACCCAGGAGACCGCTGTTTGCCACTGGTTAACGTGTATACAAAATGTATACACAAAACCACTCAAATGCGTAGTGCATGGACCGAGAAATACAAACAAATCAACGTAACACTGTAATATTACAGATCAACAACACAGATACGATTCTCATTTATTCATTTTATTTATATAATTAAATCGATTTTTTGTTTGTTTTATCTGAGTGTTTCAGGGTATTCTCTGAATACCTGGAAGGCCCCGACAGTTCACCACTGACGTTAACCTACTTTTGTTTCATAACTACTAATTATGAAATGTATTTTCGTACCTTGTGTATTTATTCTAACCACTACCACAATGTGACAAAGTAGTTGTCTTGCTTAGATCCCCAACAAGTTGTTGGATTGCGTAAGTAAACCTAAAACCTGTTTATTTTGACTGGGAACTTTTTTTTGGCTCCATAAAGCATCATAGTTTAAAGCATAGGGCAACCGACCAACCCTTCTGTACTGAACAAGTAAAGAGTGAGATGTTGTTTTATTGTCTTATCTTTGGATATTATTTCTATTGATTGCAATAAAAGTGTTCCCACCATTACAGATAACTGCTGAGATCTGGCTAAAACAAGTCAAATGGGTGAACTGTGATCTAATCTCATGTTTTCAGATCACCTCATTGATTTGTGTTTACACCACATCCATGATTGTGATCAAAGTCCAGCTCCAGTCTTCTCCCCGTGTAGAGACTTAGAGACAGGATGTGGGACTTTAGGAGCAGATAACACAATCTCAGGGGTTGGCATATGTGAAGGGCAGCGTCTGTTTTGTGCCAAGGTGAGACCTGAAACACCAACACACCAGGAAAATAAACACGCTTCACACTGATACTCATTGCAGGTCCTGCCCTTTTATATAATCATGTACCAAATCCATCCTCCGAGCCCCCACTCCCACCCCAGCCCTCAGTGGTGTTGTTGTGCCCAGGGGGATCCGCAGCCTTGACGGGCTCTCTTCTGATTGGTGGCCTTTTCAGGGGGTGGAAGGGTTAGGACGGCCTGTCAAAGTCTCCTCCGTCAGCCTTGAGGAGATGAAGTGATGCCTCCTGGACCTCCGGCCTGCTCCACACTCATGATGCAATCAGCAGCCCCCCCCCCCCCCCCCCATCACTCACTGACAACATCATCTGTGTTTCCCGGCAAATGTGTGTGTGTGTTTCGGCTTGGACAGATGTTTAATTTTAGCACTGCACCGAGCTGATTTAAGCATTATATTAAAGGAATCGTTTAACACTTTGAACAATATGGGTGTTTAATCAAAGTCACATGAGAAGGATGGTATTATATGTGTTTGCTGACAGGTAGCTTTGTTTAGCACTAAAGATCACTCATTTCAGCGACACACGCATACACCACAATTTACTAAAGGTTTGGTTCAGATTATTTCATGGACTCAGGGACTTCTTCCACCTGTTGCTGCCATCTGTGCATTTGAATATTTGAGTTGCACTTAAGGATGTGTAGGAACACACATGTGAATGTCATCGTTTTTTGGACAGTTTGGCATAGACCACAATTTACTGAAGGGTTGGTTCTGATTATTTCAGGGACACAGAGATACTTCATATGAAAGTTGTATGGACCTTCTCAAGTAACTCACAATTACCTGAATGTCATCTATCTGTCAAATAGGAGCCCAGCAGCTCATTTCACCCGTTTCCAGAACCGTTTGATTTAATGATATGCTATATGTTGCATGCTGTGAGCAGTCCCTGTGTTGCTGGTGAAGAAATGTAAATGAACCTTATCATTAGAGTCAGTTTAAATGAATATTCTAAGCTGAAAGCAAAGGCAGTGATGTTCTCATTAAGCTGTCGGTGTGTGAAGGAAGCGTGAATACATCCTAGCCTTGATCCTGGACTGAGTGAAAGCTGTCTGATGCACCGCCTCATTCATTTCAACACCTTGCTATATACAGCCTTATTTGACTGTTTTGTGACATTATCTTCCACACGTTGCTGCCATCTGAAGATGGAATACTCATTCTCACCCATGTGAATGTAATGGTTTTTGGTTCAGTTATGGAGCAGTAGGGCTTCGAACACACACTGAGGACATGGATACATGTATAGTTCATTTGGGTATTTTGATGGGACTTGACTATGCACAAATATTAACTATTGCCAGCTTAAATACAAATGTTTTCGATAAAAATGTAAGTATTAAAAAAGCAGCACAAGTTATCTGTGGACAAATTGACCAGTCAACTGTTTCATGTTGGTCAATATGGTATACTGTATGGACTTTGCATTTTCATATTTATTTTACAACATACACAATGAAATGCAAAGTTGCAAAAGATCAAATATGAGCCAGAATGTTGGGAAGATGATTACAATAGTTGGGTGTCATGACGTTACATATCAGTCATTTAGGCTGGCAGCATTTGTGCAAAAGATAAATGTCAAGTAAATTCAGATAAAGTCAAAGATGGGATGGTTGAATGGAAAGTATGTTTATATCAGGGAATGCTACTGTGAATATATCTGCACATCCTTATTGTTAGAAGTTTGAATCTTTATGGTTTTAATTGCAAGTAGTTTTGGACAAAAGTAGTGTAATATATGTGTTACTGAACTGCAGCTTCTTGTTGTTGCTAGTACAGGAGTTCATTTGGCATGTTTAAAACTGAGCACTGCCTCACAGGTGGAAACACACTTTTTGTCTATTTGAATGAGATTATCTTCCCATGAATAACTCATTGTGTTTGCTGAGCAGCGGGTCAGGGACAGACTCTCCGGACTGCACAACGTGAAGCTCTTAAGCACTGCCTGTAAGGAACCGATAAACATTCATCACACCTGCTCATCATCGGCTTCTCTCTGCGTATCAAAGTCAAAGATGGACAGAAAAATGGAGGACAGTCCGAGTACATTTGCATAACGTTCACATTTATTTGGTTTCAAGTTCTAACACATTCTAAACATGCTTTTAACACGTAATGGATCACATTCTTCACAGGTAGTTAAAGTAACAATAGCAGACAAGAGATTTCTGAAGAGAAAAGCATTTCAATTGTCTGTTCACAGGTGATGACGGTGTGTACATCTCTTTCTTCCCTGAGATATGTCACGACTGTTCTTGACTTCTCCCAGCCTCTCTCCTCGTGTGCAGGGGGCTCAGACCTGACAGCAGGGTCTGAACAGAGGAGCTTTGGAGCACATGGTCATAGTAAGAGCTCTGATAATGTGCAGCAACTAAATGCTTGTTGCTGAACATTATTAATGTCATGACTTCGTATGGAAACATTCAACAATGACAAGATCTTTCTGTAACCGAGTGCTGCAGAGCTCCTCTGCTCAGGTTTCTGACAGTGCTGACGTGGGGGGGGGCTGGACATGTGGCTTTGCCGAACTGGCCAGTTATAGGACAGCTGGATGATGGGTTCTCCCTGACCACAGCAGCGGAATACATTGATTAAAGGAAAACGTCAACCCCTAAATAATGTACTTGTTTGTTGGCTGTTGTTGAATTCAGCTCTTACCCTATTTACTTTCATTCATCAAGGCTGGCTTTGTCCTTCCCTGTGGAGGCATGCCAGACACTTTCTTCATGAATGCAAGGTAACAGGGGGCGGCTCATTGACAGACTGTCATCTTAGGGTTGAAGTATGCCTTTAACGTGCTCCTTCAAAAATGCAAATATGAGCCAGAATGTTGGGAAGATGATTACAATAGTTGGGTGTCATGACGTTACACATCAGTCATTTAGGCTGGCTGCATTTGTTCAAAAGCCATCCATGTCCAACCCCAGAGATAAGACGGTTATCTGTAGTCCCGTGCCGCAGCGAGCGAGGCGTGTAAACACGATGGATGATCCAGCACTCGCTGCATTGACAGAGTCTGATATCAAACAGCTAGCACTCCATGTCTTTCTTACCAATGAACCATCATGGAGCACAGAGGAATAACACTGTGACGTCGTGATGTGGGGAGTATAGTGGACACAGCAAACAGCCAATCACAGGGTAACAAGGCCTTAACACACTAAATAAAGCACTGGTTACTGCAACAAGAATGCATTATGCCATGCTTCATCAGAACACTGACATTGTCATTCTTTCATCAGTGAAATAAAGATGACGCTAATTTGACATGAAATGAATGAAAAAAGAGAGGAGAGGTAGAGGATGAGAGACAGCCAGAGGTCAGAGAAGAGAAAGCTGCTGACAGCAGGCGAGTCTGAGGTAGAGAGGGTTATGAGGCAACATGTTTACACATTTAAAAAAAATAAAGATTAAGAAAACGGGTATCAGAGCGTTTCATGAATCTGAGAGGTCACTGTGGAAAAAAGAGACAGTAATAATAGAACATTGGTGCAATGAAACCAATAAATAAGACAACAAATGCATCTATTTGAAAGTAAGCAACATGATGACAAATAAAGAGGTAGTTTCAGTACATAAATTGCAAATGACATTTCCCTTGACTGCAAAAAAGAAAATACAGAAAATAAAAAAGAACACTTCTTCAGCACGTGTTTCAAAATATGACAGGTAGGAAGTCACAGCTGTGGCAGTAAGGTATTTGTGTTGAGCAGTTTGATATTTGCTGCTACATTAAAGAAAGACCCCCCTTCATATCCTCTTCCACTGCCAGATCTCAGCACTCTGATGGTCAGCATTCCTAGAGTTACTTTGAGATCAAGTGACTTTGTTGTTGACCACCCTGCTACAGAGTGAAGCCACAGTAGGTGGACTGATGACGTCCGTGCAACGTGGCAGCAGAGACAGCTCTCACAGTCTGACACCAACACCTGATATTTATTTCAACTTTTGAAACTAAACTGAAGCCGTTTTCCCAACAGTGGAGGAGGATGTCTGGGGGAGCCGGTTCTGTTTTGAAGATACATCGCATTGCACAGACCTTTTTTTTTACATAAAGAACATATCCCTGAGATTATGTGGTTTTTAGGTTCAGTTCAACAAAAGACATGGACACTCAAATACCTTCTCACTTAGCGGCAGTGTAACCTGGCGATTTGGAGGTGTTGGTCTGCCAGTTTCTGCTTCCAGCCCAAAACAAGCTCAATTCCATGCACCATCCATTTGTAGAGATGATGGCAGGTCAAAGTAAACCTGAACTACAGGTGGAAACATATTGAATGCTTCGTGTCATTTAGGTGAACTGACCCTTTAACCTCAGAAGCCTGTGTGATGCATGATGCACATTTGACTAAATAGTGAGAGAAAATATTGTCCACACCCGTCTTAGCTGCTCTTAGAATCCTGGTGGTAGAACATTAGTGTAATTCATTCAAGTTTGGAACCACAGATGGCTCCAAAGCATCACTTTTGCGTTGATTCAAAATACATAAGAGGTCAAGTCCATGTGAGACATGGCTCACATGGCCTGTATATCACTTTTTCATAAAATACGGTGGACAAAGGAATGTTACTAGAAATCATGTCCAAAAAAACGTAAGCATTCATTCAAAGTTTAGAAAATGACAAGGGCTGTCCTCACTGCCCTGTCCACACAAAAGACAATGAATATGTGAAAAACAACAAAAATCCAAAACATTAACATCATAACTAAAAAGGAACATGACACTGTATCAAAATGAAAAGATGAGAAGGGGCTGACAGGATGAAGATGCAGCGCTGCAGGAGGGACCTCTCCCTCCATCACCCACACCCAGAGGAAAACTCCCCCTGCAGGTCTAATCTTCAAACTGCATCCACTGAATGAAGGGGGGGGGGGAACACTTTTCTACTGAGGACCTACAATGTCCTGGAACCTACATCTACTAATACTACAAGTACATCAGCATGGTCACTGAGGAACTCCAGAATGCAATACATAACACTAACTTTACCCTGTTTAGATTCAGGTCTGCAGGGACCTGAGAGAGGAACATGGCATGGCATGGTGGGCATGGGTCAGGGTCAAAGGTCAAGGTCTCCGAACCCCACCGTCGTGTGCAAAAAAAGAGAGATGCAAAGATGCATTTCAAATTGTTCGTACGTCATGAAATGGCAAAGAACCCGAGGAGTCAAGAAGACGCCTCAGGCGGCTTGAAATGATCATCTCATACTTCAAAAATAAAAGACCATTTCCTATATGGCTTAAACGATGTGCATATCTGTCACAGAGCCAGAGGAAAGTCACTTCAACTCTGAACCTCGACCCCAGTGAGACACTGCCAGAAGTTGCATCCTTTAAACTGATAATCTGCAAACTTTGATTAGACAGTTCATTAAGAAATGTGGGTTATTGGTCTTTTGGCCAACCTTAGCCAATAAACAATCGGACCTGAAGCTCAGCTCCACATGTTCTAGGGCTTCTTGGATCTGGATCCGGTCCAACTTTAACTGATTCTGGTCTTGGGTCTGTGCAAAAGTTTGATTGGACCTGACAAGACCCGAAAACAGTCCAAGTTCCTCTAAAACTGCCCAATGAGACTTTTGAACGGACCAGTGGTTTTTAATCTGGGTTTGAAGCTGGATGAGCTAACAGAAGCTAGCATTCTACGCCAAGTGTCTGTTGTTAGTTCCATTTTGGTTCTAGTAGGTCAGGTTGACTTATTTGACCCATGAAGATCTCTACCTGTTCAAAACACCAAGCATTGGCTCTCTGACCTTTGCTTTGTTCTGAATAATTAGTCAAATCCAAGATTTCACAAACTTCCCCTTTAACCCAACAGAGAACCCTAAATAGTTAGTCGAGGCTACAATGCATCAAGTTCCTGGCACTGAAGGGAGCAGACGGAAAACAAGCCGTCTGAAAGAATCAGAGGGAAATACAATCACATCTGCTCTATGCATATGTGTGTGCACAAGAATGTGTGCATGTTTAGCAGCATTTAGAATGAAATCCGGCAACACACTCGTCTGCCCAGCAGGGGGTCTCCCTCTGACACAGATTGATTCATTTCTTATCCTGATCCTTCATTGATAAGAAATCTTTTTTGTGGAGCTATTAGCCCCAACCCATCAGTGGGGGGAAAGCATTGCATAACACTTTGGTCAAAAAGGAAAACAATACAACTAAAAACAGCAAACCTAACTACACTCCCCTTCCCCACAATAAAGCCTTACATCCCCAGTCTATGATTGTAAAAAATACCCGTATGCTCCTTTTTCCAATAAAGATCCCGCAGATCCAACTGTCACCTTAACCCGTGGAATGTTCAACTGACTCCCGCCTCCCATCGAGCAGGACCACTGAGTCCATGCAGAAGCTCAACTTTTGCATTTTCAGTGAAGCTAAACACTGGTGCAATCTTTGATTATGCAGCTCCCGTGGACACTCAGTATCTGATTGGGGGAATCGGTTTTTGACCAGGGAACTCTTCATTTAACAGAAAGAAAAGGTACCTGAACATAGCAACAACATTTCCCTGAGGTATTCTCAAACACTCGTCACATATGTCTATCCGCCCCCGTCTGAATAAAATAAACTCTTTTAAAGTCTAGCTCTAACAATAGCAACACTGACACATTGAGCAAACTGGATACACACTTGTAAACTCCAAAGACCAATGCATCTACGAGCATTTGTTTTGTACAGAAGCATGTGCACAGTGTAAATCAGCATACATTCAGCTCTGTCGAGTAATAAATATAGAAAGAAAAAAGTTACAAAAAACAAACTAGCTGCTTGTCACATTCACAAGAGGGGAGACCAGTCCCTCGCCTCGGAGGGTCAGGGGTCTAGTTTCCGGAGGAGGCGGTCCCGCAGGGTGGGGGGGGTGCTCCTCTAGCTGCTCAGGGTGGATTTGCAGGAGTGCAAGACTGCTTTGAACAGGAGGGGGAGCTGCTCCAGGGGGACGTTCACCAGCTTCCCTGCAAACAACAGAGGGTCAGCCTCACGGGCCACAGAGGGTCAGCCTCACGGGCCACAGAGGGTCAGCCTCACGGGCCACAGAGGGTCAGCCTCACGGGCCACAGAGGGTCAGCCTCACGGGCCACAGAGGGTCAGCCTCACGGACCACAGAGGGTCAGCCTCACGGACCACAGAGCAGAGACGGCATACTGTTTTCACCAATTTAAAGATATGAACATTTAGTAAAGTGCATGCTTTGAATGACCAGGTACGTTTGAATACGTCCCAAAGCCAACACATGTTCAGCCTGTGAGCTAACACTCCCTCAGATGCAGGGACACAGAATGGATGAGGTTTTGAAGTGAGGACGTGGGAGACCCCTGTGCCAGTATAAGCTCCAAACCGTGTGGTGGGGGGGGTCACTGTGCAATATACCCTTGTGCAATTTAAGCTGTATCTCTTTTCGCTCAATTTATTTACAATCGGCAAAAAACATGTGCTAGTTTAGCCATTTATTGACTTTGTAATATGTAAGTGTATTATCTGCACTATGCTTCTGCTGCTGTCCTTTGGCAGTGATGGGTGAGCAGGGTCATTACAGCTGACAGTTCCATAACACAGAGCTACAGCCTGGTGCTTTTTTTCATCCTGCTTTTCATTTCAATGTGTTTTCGGTTTTCTCTTTTTAAAAACAAAACGGTTTGGAGCTTACACTGGCCCAGGGTTCTCAATGTAATTAGCTTTATAAGCATGACCATAATGACAATGTATTGCCAGAGTTTTGTACAATTGCATCTATATAAAAATATACATTTGGAATGTTCTGTTAAGTTCATAAACATTTTCAACAGATGCAAGAACAACACAGAACAATCGCAAAAGGTTAGTTATTGATTATTGTGCATGAACATTCTGATAGTCACTTCATATAATACCTTAATAAGAAAATAATAATACATAAAAAAGTGTGCAGAAGGTCATTCTGATTCTCTCAGGTTATCTCCCACTACTCATGCTAGATAACGGGCTGCTCTGCCCCTAATGATGTGCTGTGATTGGCCAGGTAATATTCAGATGTACCAGATCATTCAAATGACTATTTGGCCTCTAGGTGGCGCTTTGAGGACTTCCAGTCCACCATATTATGGCGCGTTTCCACTACAGCGCGGAGCACGGTTTAAGAGGGCTGTGACGTCAGCGGCCCGTTTTTGGTTGCGTTTCCACTTGGCCTAGTACCGGCTAGCGGGTCCTAATTCACAGTTTTTCTGGCCTCATAAAATCGTGGGTCCAGGGCCAGAGACAACGAGGCTGAGTCGGGCTGAGTATGCTAAACTAGAGAGAGCGTCGCTGGCAAGGGGGCTACAACTACAACAAGATGGACATATTTGACCGTGATTTAATTGTAATACACGTTTCAAAATGATGCCGAAGTAACAACATACTGATACCAGTTAGTAAAAACCATGAATTAATGCTTTGTCAAGTCTGCAGACAGACGGCAGGCGAAAAACCTTTTAAAATGCGTGTTTTCTAAATGGAGATTGGCTAAGCTAACGCAGTATATGCTCCGACCTATACAGACATAAATAAAGCAGCGACTGTATTCACCATGACACAGGCAGTCTGTGGTTTGTACTTGTTTAACTTTTGTCTAGTTTCTGAACATATATGAGGAGCTGTGAGCTCTGAGTGCTAACAGCTAACGGCTGTGTTGTTTTTCTGGGGTCCTCTGAAGATCACGTCACGGCTCCGCCTACACTGCGTTACTATAGATACTACCCCAGTTCCTAAACTGTAATGGAAATGCGCCATAAAGTGAGCCAGTCCTAACGAGGCCCAGCCATACCGAGCGGGGCCGAGTGAGGCCGTGTAGTGGAAACGCGCCATTAGAGTTAAGGTCTTCCAGTCCACCATATTAGAGTTAAGGTCTTCCAGTCCACCATATTAGAGTTAAGGTCTTCCAGTCCACCATATTAGAGTTAAGGTCTTCCAGTCCACCATATTAGAGTTAAGGTCTTCCAGTCCACCATATTAGAGTTAAGGTCTTCCAGTCCACCATATTAGAGTTAAGGTCTTCCAGTCCACCATATTAGAGTTAAGGTCTTCCAGTCCACCATATTAGAGTTAAGGTCTTCCAGTCCACCATATTAGAGTTAAGGACTATAGAAGCACTGAAGATCTATCCAGCTCTCAGGAGCCTCACCTGCGATGCAGCGGATCTCCGGGAGACACATCATGATCTCTGGGAAGCGCTTGGGCTGGTGCGGGTACTTGTACTCCGTGTAGTCCTGACACACGTACCAGTAGCGCTTGTTGAGCTGCTCCAGCTGCGAGGTGTTGGACAGTCCTCGGATATCTGCGGATAAAAAGGTGAGGTCAGCTTTTCTAGCGTGTAGGTTTCTACCTCTTATTTATTTAACACTTTTATTCGCTACATTTCCTCTTTAACCTTTGTTATAACTATTACAACGTTTTATTATTATTTTATAGGTTTTTATATTTGACTGTATCTTTTCATTTTGTCTTACTTACATTTTTCTGAGGGGTCATTATTTATTGAATTGTATTATCATACCTTTTACCCCCTTGTCTCCCAAACTGTTCAAATGTGATATGATGTTGCCATGCTGCATGTTTCCAGAAAGCTCTCTCTGATCTGAGGGGGGTTTCTTGTTCTCTCTTTGAATGTGTAATCTTAAGTTGTTAAAGCACTTTGAACTGCCTGTATTAAAGCTTTATGTTGGGAGTACTGTTAGGGTTAATAAAAGCTTGAACTCTGTCAAATCAGATTGTTACCTTGGTTGAGGAAGTTGATGGCTTTCATGCAGGCATACTCCTCATTACTGATCTTCAGCTGGTGGAACTTGCGGAAGAGATAAATCAACCTCTCCATCACCTCCATCCCGTCCTCGCTGAATCTGAGGAGTCACACACAGACATACGTAGCGGTGAGGAACATTGATATCATTATGTTTAGGGTTTGTCTCTCTGGATGAAGGAAGATAGACTGGGTTTTAGTAGGACACATGTATAGAATAACCATATCATTCACATTTAAATCCACTGCCAAAACTTTTTAAATCCCTCAAGCCCCATTATCTTAAGCTTCTATGCTCCAATGAACACGGAAAGAATAAGGGAGGGAATACGTCAGATCTTCTGAAAGTGCTTAACAAACATCTTGCTAATCCCACAGCTGTTTAAAGGAGTTAGAAAAGGTTCACAAAGTGTAATTCCACTCATCAAAGCCCAATGCCCTGTCTCTCTGCCTCTCACAAACTTGTCTCTGTAAATCAGATATTCCCTCCTAAACTACAGGCCAGTTGACTGCAGCCGCAGAGAAGCACTGTATATTAGCAGAGTGTGTGTCATGAGGTCAGATCATTCTGGTGTGATTTACACAGATCCAAACCCCCACTCATCCTCTTCTGCCCGGCGTGGGACATGCATGTATTTCACATGTTAGACGGTGCTAGCCACAGCTCTGTCCTGAGGAGGCCCCCCCGTTCACGGACCACTCCACTGGCCCTCAGCCAACTACAATACGTTCCCTGCCGTGATAAGGGAGATATCAAACTCCTGGAGATACTCATAAAGAGGGGAAGCTCGCCTTTCACAGGACTGCTTTTTGTTATTATCTTTCATCCACCTTTCTTACGAGTGAAATATTGGCTCCCAGAGGCTAAATCTAGCAAGTCACACTCTGTTGTGTGTTATGGTGCAATAGCCACCACAGGAGGAGACCTGAATCCCTTTACGGAGATATTACCAACACCTATGCATTAGGGACATTGATTCAGTTACTTATCAATATGTTACTGCATGATGGATTTAAAGTTGGCATAATTGATCATTTTATCAAAATAAGTTATTTTTCATGCAAAAGTAGCAAAGAAAATGTTTTGAGCCTATGAAGCTTTTCTGCTTGTATCATTTAAAAATGAATACCTTGGTGTTATAGACTGACAAGACATTTAAAAGACACCACCTTGGAATTTGAGATTTAAATTTGACTTTTAAAAATGGCTTTAAAATGGTAAACAGTAACTTAGTCCACTATTATACTGTGTTGGTTATCACACTCATTCAAACCATGATAACTGGGCGGTCTCCTTTGTGGCAGAGTTATGAGACCTGAGTTTATAGAACATCTATCCACAGCTTCCTGCCACTCACCCCTGCAGCTCGTCGTCAGACGGCGTGTACTTGGCGGTGACGTCGGCCAGGTCTCCAAAGATCTGTGCGCTGTAGATGGTGAGGCAGGAGAGCAGGATGAGCTCCTGCCAGGTGGAGCTCAGCAGGCAGGTGTAGTCCTCTATGGAGAGCTCGCAGAAGAACGGCAGCTTCTTGATCCAGGAGATCTGGCGGAAGAGCAGCTCGTCTGCCAGGCGGCACAGCAGCGCAAACAGCTCCACCTGAGTCACTTTGTACCTGTCAGACACAAGAGGGGGGGTAAGAACTCAGCAAGAACATTCAAAATACTGGTTTGCTGTGGAAAATAGATCCTAGTGGCCCAAGTTTCAGGTGTGGGCCATATTCCATTAGACTATTTGCTGAAGGCCATTTCAAAATGGACGACGGGCCGTAGTTTGGAGAACCCTGCTAACATGATGCAGGTCCATTACATATTGTAAGTCACCACACTAACAACACGTTCTGGATTCCCTGGTCTGTGTTGCATTGTAGTGAGGGGGCGAGAGCAGGATTTGTTGCGTCTGCGTTGACTCACCCGTCTTCTATGAGCATGGGGGTTACCAGGGGGGCCAGGTCTTCAGCGGCCACCAGCTGCAGCACCAGTGGGTGGGACTGGGGGTAGAGGCTGCGGGGCTGGGGGGCCAGCAGGCCCGACTGGGCGGCGTAGCTGAACAGGTGGGGCAGAAGCTGGTAGTGTGTGGACATGGAGTTGTTGATGTACTGGTCTCTGAGGGCGGCCGTGTAGCTGTTCATCTCCACAGAGCGGCTGGATGCACACAAAGGTCAGAGGTCAGACACACTTGAAAGGAATAATCGTACATTTTGTGAAATAGCCTTTACCATCCTTCCCAGAGATCGAAATGTTTAATCACCCCCGTTTGTGCTAATTCACGTTAAGAGACCTTTTATATCTCCGTACATTTCAAGCATTAGCGTTGGGATATCAGATGGATTTATCGGCAGTTGGTTTTTATTTGTAACTTCTACTTCATTTTGCCTATCTAATGCTCTGCTTCCCTAGAACAAGACAACATGTTGAGATATCGCCGACACTACGTACCGGACATACAGACTGACTCTTTAAACGTCCTAAACTTGAACACTTTGGTGGAGCTCCACTCCCTTTAACACTCGAAGACAAAACATTGCATTTCACATTCTACCTGCATACCAAGCACATGCATTCTGTAATTGTTGTTTATTTCTGCTCAGATTTCATTTGATAATTCAAGAATTCTTCTGAATAGCTCTCAGGCTGTGTGGCTATGGTGATAAACCTTGTGTTTATACTAAAGGAGACTAAAATAAATACAGTCATGCAAGTAGCTAGACAATATCTGTCCTTGATGATTGCAGATAGACAATGCACTCGTCTCCATAGCAAGAAAAGCAGATAGCAGAGGGTTCTTTGTGTTTGCTATCATCTGTGCGCCCGAGGAGCTGCACATTCAGGCATTCTTCAGCTGATTACTTACTTTAACTAAAGTCTGACTGCGATGGGAAAGAGGTGTTAGACTGTCAGGGCCGGCTCATTATCTCAATAATGGGGTGAGTGCTGGCGCTCGGCGCTGAGAGGACGATATGAGCGACTCACTTGGAGGACAGGGTGGAGGCGGGGGACGGCTGGTTGCCCTCCGACGCTCCGTTGCTGGGCGAGCTGTGGTCACTGTCTCCGTTGTTGCCCCAGGTGTGCTCCGGGACGTCCTCCTTGAACTCCTGCCCCGACATGATCCGCTCTATCTCCTCCTCTGTGATCTGAAACACACACACACACACACAAAGAGATGTGAGCTCATGGAGCTTACAGCACATCCTCAAGCACAGGAAAGACATGTCCTAGTTGAATTGATCAGCATTGACTGCTTTTCACTAAAATGTTGAGGAGCAAGGACGCAGTGAAACAGGAAGGTAGAAAAGGAAAAAAGAAAGGAAAGAAAGAAAGCAAATTGTGTGTGTGTGTGTGTGTGTATCTGATTGATAAACACACACCTAAAATAATATGATCCTTGCCGGTCCATGAAGGGAGAAAATAGACAAAGGCATTAGCATGCCAGAAAATGTGGTGTCTTGTATCTGCAGCTGGGGTCGAGACACTTCCATTGCTATCATTCAGCACACAGTGAAACGGCAATTCATTCCATATAAATGACAGAGAGGTCCTGCTTTCATTAGGACTCGGAGATAAAGCAGTCATTTAATGGAAGCGGGCGTTTTTCAATGCATTCATGGTGAGCGAGCCAACTCTGGGACTGAGCCACAATAACATGTATAGACTGACTCTTAGATGGCGGAAGGTCAGTGAATGTCACAAAAACAACATTTCTGGTATTCAAGTGAGTGATGTACCTGAACAGGCCCGATGCTTTTGTTCCTCCCTCCTGGCATGCCATCCTCTCTGATTGCTGCATGACAAAAAGAAAGAGCAGAAATCTCAATGTACACGTGGTCCATGAACACTAATCAGGGTTAGTGTCAGAGCTCTACCTAGTGGCTGAAACTGATCCCACAGGGCTTTGCTTCACATCATTTGTTTTGGTCCTTTTTCACTTTTGTTCGAACTTAACTTTCTTTTCTTTTTTTCGGCAGGTAGAGAGGTTTTTTTCTTGACATGGGATTGGTTTATTAGAAGCAAGGCGTTAAATGTATTTCAAGTGTCAGGACATGCCTGCTTTCATCACAGTATTTGAAGAATAAATTGTTGAAATGAGGCCATCAGGCTGAAGCAGCACTGAAGGGTTATTTACAACCAGCATCCACTAGGGGGCAGCGTGGTACCTGAGATGAACCCGTCATTCGGGGACTTCCTCTCTTATTGCCCTGCATGCACACGTTCTGTTTGAAGTTTTCTTAACTACACATATTGTTGATTTAGTGTATTTAGAGTTACTGAAAAGATTGATGTAGATTATCAAAAGGCTGATCATAAAGTTATAGATTTCAACATTTTTAAATATCAATTGGTTGTCAGTTGTAGCAGGAATTACACCAGAAGAGGACTTTGTCAGGTCTGTTCCTGAACATGACAGGTTGCAGCACATGACCCCTGTTTTTACTCAAAATTACATTTTGAGACTCAAGCGTTTAATAAATACAACCAAGCAAATGTTTTAAAACATTCAAATAGAATCTATCAAACCATTACCAACCAATTTCATAATTTAGAAGAAGGAAAGGTTCATGTTCATGATATGTAGACATGTATAATTGCTAGACGTTTTCATATTATTGTCATCCATAAACAACATGAAACCAAAAATGTGAAAAAATAAAATATAAAAAAGGAAATTCTCATAATCATCTTAATTTGTAATAGGTGGAGCCACCATAGGGTTCAAATATGTGATGTGTCCACCCGTTACCTTTGCGGTTCATCCCCATCTGCAGACACTTGAGCAGGCGGCAGTACTGGCAGCGGTTGCGCTGCTTGCGCGACATCTCGCAGTTCTTGTCGCGGCTGCAGCGGTACACACGCTTGTTGCAGATGCTCCTCTTGAAGAAGCCCTTGCAGCCCTCACAGGAGATGATGCCATAGTGAAGGCCTGTGGCACGGTCTCCACAGATAAGGCAAGTACGTTGGTCAGCTGGATCATCTGCAGACACAGAACAGAAAAAAGGAAAGGAGACATTTAGAACCACTTCCAACCACTTCTTAACACTAATTCCTCCACACCGTGAAAAAAGTGGGTGCAAAAACCTCGCTGGAGGCACACGTTTTTAATTGAGATCATGGGGGCGGTTGGGGCTTAAGCACTAGCCAGGCGCTGGCTAATCCAAAGAGTTCTTAAGCCCCAACTCTCATTTTGTGAAAGTGGAGGTGTAACAGGCAGGAGGGAGACGTCTTGTGTATGTTTTATTCAGCAGCTCTGATGAGGCAGCGAGCTGATTTGTTTACAGTGTCTCCTTTCTCTCCTCGAACAACAGCAGTATCACATGAAGAGGCCTCTTTCTGCAGAGACCTCAGACCTGTTCATCTCAAAATTGCTATATCAATCAATTTGCGACATTCCATTCAGGGTAATAGATTATCAATCCATTCAGTACTTTTAAAATGTCCTAAAACCTGTTCTTACAATTGGTCTCTTGTTTTTGCCCTTAAACGCCTCCAGGCCTGTCTTGGCCTGGATGTTCCACACAGGCGCTCTCTCAATTATTAGCCTTCTGTTTGCCAAAAACACACTTTCTGCTGATCACTCCAAACTGTGAAAAGTTGGTCGGACAGTAATACATTAGGGCTGTAACGTGGAACATATGTGAGGGCATATTTAAAGACCTGAGGAAGTGGTCCTGTGGCACAAAGTGTAGGGGTCGACCGATTATCGGCCTGGCCGATTATCGAGACCGATATTCCGCATTTTACAGATTATCGGTATCGGCCTTTTTTTTAAATCAAATTGCCGATACAACTTTGGCTCTGATGCGGCCGTTTCTCTGGCTGCAGTCACCACTGTTCATGAGCAATGTCCCGCCCACAGCGCTATCTGATAGGCTATTACTGAAGTGTCAATCAATACTGAAGATTTTCCGGGCTGCAGCCAGCCAGAAAGGCGGGACCTTCTCAGATTACAGGCAGGTGCGAAGAACGCAGACACAGACAGAGGCAAGCAGCAGCAACAGTGAGCGGTGTTTCCAAGGTAAATCAGTTGAAAGCTGAAGTTCAATAAACATCCCAATCCCCTATGCTGAAGTTGCAAAAACACCATGATCTTATGATCCAATTCTATCAGTTTCCCAGTTACAAAGGGACCGGGGGGGGGGGGGGGGGGGGCGGGTAGCGTCTCGCAGCGGAGAAACTGGTACGCGCTGGTACTGGGACTGTGACGGCTGCTAGTGGAGCCTCGCAGCAACTCTGCTTTCTGCACCACAATCTGGTGCTGCTGAATTGGGACTACTAAATGAGTGAGACTCAAATATCAGAAGTTCAGAACAAGTTTTAGTCGTTTTTATTTTTACTTCATTTACTTTACTCAGGGTCACAGAGAGGAAACCAGTTTTAAGATGTTGAAAAGTTCATTAAACATAAAAAGGCATTTCAAAGAAGTTCTGTTATTCTACATTTTGACACCAAGCTTTTCTGATTTTACTGCAAATGTATATCGGTTCCAAATATCGGTTATCGGTCTCCTTGATTACTAATAATCGGTATTGGCCTTGAAAAAGCCATATCGGTCGATCCCTAACAAAGTGTCCTGAAACAAGTACTAGAAATGACACTGTATGTGTTGCGGGTTTATAAAGGCTGGAAATGAGACATTCGAAACAAGAAAAAACGAAAGTGATTTAATAAAGACGTTGGATGTTTGGGAGACCGTACGTGTGCGAGGGGATCAGAGAGACTGGGGACCTTCTTCATGAAGCTACTTTACTAATCATGAAGGTGCTCTCATACTGTTAAGACAGCAAAGTGAGAGAGCTGTTGGAAATCTTCCCCTAATCCCCATCTACCTCCAGGCTACATAATGCACATGATCAAACTCACTCAGGAAGCTGAGAATTCAGTGGGAGCACATATTCTCTGCTTACCACACACACACACACACACACACACACACACACACACACACACACACACACACACACACACACACACACACACACACACACACACACACACACACACACACACACACACACACACACACACACACACACACACACACACACACACACACACACACACACACACACACACACACACACACACACACACACACACACACACACACACACACACACACACACACACACACACACACACACACACACACACACACACACACACACACACACACACACACACACACACACACACACACACACACACACACACACACACACACACACAACCCCCCCCTTGCTGACAGCCGCTGAGAGCAGATGGGTTGGACGCCATGGTTACAGAGAATAGCCTTGCAGTGCAAAGACTGGCTGAAGCAGGAATGTGGCCTGCCGCTGATCTGGGATCAGGTTGGACTGATACATGTCCAATATGATTCCTAAGAATCCGTTTCTTTAAAGGTTCTCCCACTCTAATAGGAAGTCCTGAGCAAATACAGTGTTTGCAATGTTGGTTGCATGAAATAGGAATTTTAAAAGAATAAATAGATTGCAGTAATCCTTAACGGCAGCTTCACCAGGTATCTGTCAGACAGAGCCTTTGTGGGGCAGGGATCATTTAATGGGATATCAAAATAATAAAACCTTGAACCAAAGCTAATAATCAATAAATCACAAACAATGTGAAGGTGCATGAGGGCGAAACAGTCTGAGGTGAGACACTTAAAGTGGACCTATTATGCTATATTGGAAAAATATATTGTAGGGGCATATCTATACAAAACATGTCTGTGAAGTGTTTTGCTTAAAATACCAAACAGATCACCCATTGTAGCATGCCTCATACTGCTCATACCCCTCTTTTGCAGCCCTGTTCCAAAAAGGCTGATTCTGCTAGCCACGCCCCTTTGTAGCGTCACGCAGATTTCCCCTGCTAGAGATTTCTACCGGGAGAAGCTCAGCTAAACACTGCGGTGATTAAATGCCATGTTATGCTCCTAACCACTTCAAGCTTTATTTCTGAAACAGTATGGAGCTCAAACCTTTCTCTTTCGCAGGGTTTACCACAAGGCCATTACGTTACACATATTTCTCTCCAGTAGCCTACAGCGTTAGCTCCATGGTTAGCTCTGAGTGTTAGCATGCTTGCTAATGTAAACACACAGCATATTACTCCCAAAACACGCCGCGCATTGTTTCTGATACAGCACATAGCTTGGCATGTTCTTTCTTAAGTGTTTATATATATATAACAACTTTACTCTAAGCCTCCAGCAGACATCCTGCTGTATACACAGACACACAGCTGCGACTGTGTATACGGAGACGATAGGTTGGGACGTGTCACGTGTGCCGGAGAATATAGGTTGGGACGTGTCACGTGTGCCGGAGACGATAGGTTAGGACGTGTCACGTCGGCCAGATGTCGCCAATGACGTTATAGGAGTGAACATTCTGGATCTGCTTCTTAACACCCCCCCTTTTTCTTTTTTGGAGATGTGGGTACGGAGGAAAAGATAGAGGGTTTTGTTTTCTGACACTGTTACCCCTTTCACACCAAGGCTTTTCCCGTTCTAGCTCCGAGCTAGAGCTTTTCTGGTTCGGAACCGGTTCTTCGGTTCAGCTCCCGCTCTGTTCACACCGCTCAGAGCCCGACTGGTGCTGCGTCATTGCGTCATCGTTTGCGTCATGACGTAACCGTTTGCGTGCCTGCTTCATAAAGCCAAACCGCACGGAACCCCCTCACATCGACAACAACAACAATGGCCGATTGTATTGAAGCGCTACTCGCTTTGCTCTGTCGAAACGAAATGGAAGAAATGGGACGACTTTACTACCAACTTTACAGTCGTTACATGCTACATTCAATGACGATTCCGTAGGAGAAAGAAGGTAAATATACATCCTATTCGATGGCGTTAGAGCTAGCTGTTGTTAGCCTCTGCATGCGCCAAGCTCAAAATACCCAGCTTTGCAGCATTAATTACCATGGTATAACATTAAAACTGATTCTCAATGTTATTTCCACAGATCATGTTGAAGCTGGCGGAAAGGCGGATGTCGCATGTTATTTGGACACAGCCCAGATCCGACGTAAGCGTGATGTATGCGGTGCTTGCTTTCTAGACCGACAACTTTTTGGTGCTTGAAACGAACCGGATTCCGGAGCTAATGGCGCATTTCCACTACAGCGCGGAGCTCGCTTTAAGCGTGCCGAGCCGTGCGGGGCCCGTTTTTGGTTGCGTTTCCACTTAGCGCAGTACCGGCTAGCGGGTACTATTTCATAAAATCGAGGTTCTTTCCGGGCCAACAACCAGGCTGATTCGGGCTGAGTATGCTAAACTAGAGAGAGCATCGCTGGCAAGGGGGCTACAACTACAACAAGATGAACATATTTGACCGTGATTTAATTGTAATACACGTTTCAAAATGATGCCGAAGTAACAACATACTGATACCGGTTAGTAAAAACCATGAATTAATGCTTTGACAAGTCTGCAGACAGACGGCAGGTGAAAAACCTTTTAAAATGCGTGTTTTCTAAATGGAGATTGGCTAAGCTAACGCAGTGTATGCTCCGTCCACACTCACAACAACGGCCTATACAGACATAAATAAACCAGCGACTGTATTCGCCATGAAACAGACAGTCTGTGGTTTGTACTTGTTTAACTTTTGTCTAGTTTCTGAACATATATGAGGAGCTGTGAGCTCTGAGTGCTAACAGCTAACGGCTGTGTTGTTTTTCTGGGGTTCTCATTGAAGATGACGTCACGGCTCCGCCTACACTGCGTTACTATAGATACTACCCCAGTTCCTAAACTGTAATGGAAATGCGCCATAAAGTGAGCCAGTCCTAACGAGGCCTAGCCATACCGAGCGAGGCCGTGTAGTGGAAATGCGCCATTAGAGGCGGCTCCGCTGCGGTGTGAACAGGAAAAAATGGTGCTTTTCAAGCTCCAGCTCCGAACCGGCCCTGGAACAGCGTTGGTGTGAAAGGGGCATTTGTGAGTTCCCTGACACACCGGGGACACAT